ATAGTCTAATCCTTAACCAAGAGAAAGACCAAATTTCGGCCTCAAAAGTCCTCACTTGCGAGGAAAAAAATAATCGTAGCTGTTCGCTTGACTCTCTCAATGATAACGCTTCAGACGATGGCCATATCGCTTCTATGATTGTAAATCTAAGGAGGGCCCGAGCCCCTAACCAATCAGAGGCCAAAGCCTAGTTGAATGCGTTCATCCGGCGACGTCTACCGCTAATTACAGAAGCTGCTTTTCAAATCATGGACCCCTACTCTCCGACTTCTTATATTCTTAGCGAGAACTTAGAACTCAATTTGTGATATAATTTGACTACCGCAGCACACTTATCGATCTTCTTTACAAAACCAACAATTTCATTTGAACATGATTTTCAAACTCTTTTTTTCTGCTTAGCACATTCACATTCCTTACGTTTATTTTGCAGACATTATTGAGACATTTGCCTCATTCCCCAATGTAACTTTTCTTTGGAAGTACGAAAATGATGATATCGGCGGGATACTGAAATCTTATCGAAACATCTATATAAAAGAGTGGTTTCCACAAGTAGACCTTCTTGGTAAGTACTTAGATACTGATGATGCTCATTATTTTCTTAATTTCAGCTGATCCACGTTTGACCATTTTCATCACTCACGGTGGTATGAACTCCATTTTGGAAGCGGTATGTTAAAGATGTTAATCTTCTTTGTGACCTATTAACCGAAAGAATGATGATTCAAACCTGCTTGTTGTAGATGTATTACGCAAAACCAATGATCGTCGTTCCACTATTCGCAGACCAGCAATGCAATTCAAAGAATGTGGAAAGAAAAGGATTGGGAATTCTGCTGAAGAGACATCTTCTTAATAAGAAAACATTGACAAATGCGTTAAAAAGAATAATGGGGAACAAGTGGGTGATCTCAGACATTTCATTCACAACAGATTGTTTCCTCACGCTCACCAGTTCCAAAAATTTTGAAAGAATTCGGTGCAATCCTTAATTTAAGGTGATATTAGGAGTCTTATAGGAAAATTACTTGAGCACAACACTAACAAAGTATAATCATCATATTATTGAATGTTTACATTTGTTGACGAATATTGCACTAATCACTGAATGTAAGGATTCACCAATTATAAATCGCAATTAAGCCGTTTAAATTAACTATTATTCATCCTAGGGCAATCGCTCAAAAATCTGCCTTAGTTGCCTCTTTACTTGAAGGAAGGCCCAAACAATATCGCAATGATATCATCAGGTGGGC